ATGGAAATAGTGGGAAGGTAAACAGAAATACACCAAATGGCACTTACAGAGACTGCATCACCTTGAACCGATGCTAGTGATTAAATTTTCCTCATCAATCCCTGCTTTAATTCCATCTGAAAAAGTATAAACATTTTGTTGTTGGCTTTAAGGCCAACCACTATTTCAAAAACAGGAGAAGCTGTCCTGGACTCCTTCAGCTCCGTGCTCCTCCTGCACTCCATGCACACTATCCCTGCCTTTCTTTAGGAAGACATCAACTTTTGATAGTGAAGTATCATTCCCTTCCAGCATATCAAGCAAGAGTGTACCAGCAGCTATCACAGTTGTGATTATCAGGAATTAAAGACCATGTTGTATCTTTTCTTGGTAAATATGACTTCAACTTCTCTAACACTTCCTAGAAATACAAGCATAAACAAAGATAAGCTGTGCTGCTTTGCTTTTTCGAACAGAAGCAGAAGCCCAAGTGTTCACTGACAAAATGTTATTCCAAGCATTACTATGACGAATTTGCAGAGCCCAGGTGAACCCTCTGCTGGCTCTGCCCGTCACTGCGGGCACTGCCCTGGGGGTGAGGGACACAAGTCCTACAGAGCACTGGCAGGAACAGGAAGCACGGGCACTGCTTACAGATAGGATTCAGGGCACAGCACCGATTGCATCTCTGAAACAAACTCGCCAAAAAGTCAACCCTGGGCCTTCAAATCCTATGTTTCTACCCAGAGAACAGCTCCCTGGTCACTGCTCCAGCTCCAGCAGCAGGCAGACTGAAGGTTCTGCTGGGTGCTGACCATGGGGAGCCCAGCCTTGCTGCGGAGTGAAGAAGGTGCCCGAGGGAAGGTTGGTCTCCCCTCCCTCCTAGGAGGAACAGATGGCCGGAGGAAGGCAGCACAGTGGTAATCTGCAAGCTAAAACATAATCTCTTTGAGTAGTGTTTTCTTAAGAGGCAAGATGACCTCCACCAGTTCACATCCTAATATCCAACTGAAGGCCTTTGCCAGCATCCTGCCAGGAAGCCAGACATACCGAGACGTGCCCTACCCAGTCACACCAGTAAGCCTGCGGCTGTTCTATCAATGCCATCACTTGCAGAGCACATTATTTTCTACTTAAATGCCCCTACAGTTTTAATTAACTCCAATTTTCTTAAAGCACAGGTATTTGTTCCCAAATGCAGAGATCCCAAGGCAGCATGCCCAAAGTCGCACCAGTCTGGAAGAGACACACAAGAACCAGAAGTGCTCAAGGAGTGGCAAAGAGTGGGACGGACATCTACTTGGCACCAGGACCATCAGCACAGCCTTGAAAGCCAGCTCCACTCCCACCACCATCCTTCACAGTTTTGTAAACTGTAATTTTCAATCAACTGAACTCCAGAAAGTTAGGTGAAGGAATGTGGTGGAGTGTATCAGCTGTGTGCTGGCAGCAGACCGTTCATCTAAGGCAGTGCAGGTACATAAACCAGCACTGCACGCAGCATCCAGCTGGGCCACCACATTTCAAGTCAGTTCTTTTAAAGTAATTGGTTTTTGTACTGTTTGAAAAAAACAAAAAGTGATTATCAAAATATTACCAGAACAGCACGCATTTTCACTGGTTAAATGGGAAAGTATAAAAGCAAAAAGGCAAAACCTCACATCTGGTTTAAAAGTTTCTGCAAACTTCTGAGGCAGAAAAACAAAATGACTATGTTACGACACAACATTTATGTAAAAAGCAATGAAATACAGCCAAACGCATACAGTTACACAAAATCAAGATAATGAAAGTCTACACTCAAGCAGGGATGTACCTAAGGTCACATCCTCTTGCTTTGCCAACAGAAGAAAAAAAAGTAATTAAACCCAACACAATATATTAGCCAAGTCTTAACCAAGTATTAACCAAGGCTCAGGTGAATAAAATACCTCAAGTGTAGGGCAGCTGCTTGCAGAGCCCCAAAGTTTAGCGACTTTAGTTACAACATCTGCATAAAGATCTTCTGTGCAGAACTGATGGGCTGCTTTCTGGGCAGCACAACTGGATGCAAGAGACAGGGGGCTGCGTGTCAGACCTGGGGCTGCGCAGCAACCCCACGTGCTGGGGACATAAGGGAGGAGCCAGACCATGGAAAACAGGTTTATATTAACACTTTCAACCAATCTGTAAGAGAAAGTAATGGGCCAAACCAGTGCGTAAAGGCATCCCTTGCTCTCTGCAGGTGGGTGCCCACCAGCCTAGCACACAGCTCCACAAAGGATAAGCCTGTAGAAGTGCTAAGGTTACAGAAGCGATTTGGTAGGGCTCTCCATTCGCAAACAGTTGGTCTCCTGACAACGTGTCTCCGCAGCTCCTAAACACACATACAATAAAAACCTCATCAAGAACAGATCCCAGCAAGGGGACAATCTGTGGTTGGAAGCTGTGAAAGTTCGCACTTCGCCACGCCAACAAACTGCTGAGCCCCATTAAACATTTCTCAAAAAAAAAAACCCACCAAAAAAACACACAAAACGACAAACCAAAACAGAAGCTGTAAATAGCTTCACCTAAGTGAGATGCCAAAGCTTGGGCCCATCAGCTTTGATAACCTAATAAGGGAGCACCCAGCTCTGAGGGTGCAGGCAGGAGGGCACCAACCTGTGTCCCCCAGTGCCCAAATGGTGCTGGCAGTGGAGCCTGGCTTTGTGTCACAGTCAGCAGAGGAGATGGGATCTCACACAGCAGCGTTAGGGTGCCTGTGTTGAGGCAAATTCAAGGGAGCAGCTCACAGAAAGTGCTTAGCTTCTGCTTTCTTAAAAATATCAACCCGATGACTCAAAGCGCGCGTCCCAGCGTTATCTGCTTTTTTAAGAAGTCTTTCCCAGCAGTTATTTGGGCCCAGCAGCATAAGGAATGAAAAAGCCTCCATTCCCAAAGCCTGGAATTTGCCCTTTACTAACACCGTGGCCAGCAGAACTGATGGACACGACCAGCCTGGAGCTCTGAGCCTCGAGCCCCAAACAAACCCACAGCACAAAGCACAACATTTGCTTCAAGAAGTGCCTGTCTAGGAGTCCTCTGAATACAAAACAGTGAATTACCCCGGGGGGTGGAGAAGGGAGGGGGGTGGGGGGGGGAAGGCACAGTAATTTTTTATTATTTTTTTTTTTTTTAAGAAGCGTGCTGGCCCATTACAGCTGAAACACCCATCTTTGGCTGTTTATCAACACAAAAGAAAGAAAAAGGGAAAAAAAAATGCCCTCTTTGGAAATCCAAGGCTCCCAGTCATTAAGTCTAACACAGAGCAGCTGAACAATAAAAAGAGCAATTGCATTGTAAATTTATGTACCGTGCACGGGTTATGGAATGTAGTGCAATAGGGCACTGTGCAGTGATAAAACCGCATTCCTTGCAAAGTTAACAGCTCTAAGCTCATGATTTGTACATGTGGGCAATACTGAATGACCTTCATGCTTTCCAGCACTCACAGGAAGGGAGATTTATCTGCAAGCACAAGTCAGTAGGTTTGCTCCGTGGGACAAACAGAGGCGTTGAGGAACAAAGCTTCAAACTTAGCAAAGGAGCAAATGCAGAGATTGGTACACTGGGTTTAAAAGTGAGCTTGAAGCCCACACTCCAATAAATCGAGTGGCTAATAGTGGTATGTGAGTGAGCTCTGCCTAAAGGAGTGTTTGCTGCCTTTTTTTTTCCTTTGGCAAAAAGATTTGCACAGTTCAGTCCCCTCTCTAACGTGCCTCCTGTAAACCAGTTCTGATTCCCCACACAAGATACAGCGTTCACGATGAAGAAATACAGTTGTATTGATCTTAATGTAAGAGACATAACGCAAGACCAAATGTTTTCTGGGCAAGAAGACCAATCAGCCGCATTACATGAAACAAGCACAGCCTGCCGTAATCCCGGTTCTAGAGACAGAACAGCTTTTTGCACAGGGTGACCGCTGAGCCGGGCGCAGTGCTGTCCTGGAGCACCGCTACGGAAGCAGACAGCAGCTGCCTGCTGCACCAACAGCCCTGTCTTTAACCCACCACGGTGATGTGAGCGTGCACACCGGGGCTCTCACACTGCTGGGCACGGAGCTCTGGTTTAGATTAAAGGGAAGAGGGGACACGGGCAGAAAGGAACAGGGCAGGAATAGTCACCCAGCGCTCCAAAGCCAAGCAGCCCACAGCGCGTCATTTACAGGCACCGTGATAAGACGAGATGCTGCTGGGGCTCAGCACGCCGTGTGCTGCACCAAGGGGCTGCCGGCCGCTTCCCAGCCCGCAGGCGCGGGGACCCACAGCCGCAGCATCTGGCACACGACCGCTCAGGATGCACGGAGGCTCTGAGGGATGTGCTGACACCCGCACAGGTCTTTCTGTACGGCTAATGGTTTGCTAGCCAAGTGCCAAGATTCACCAGACGGCACTTTCTCACTTCTTTTTTGAAACGAGCTTTGAACATTGCGCATTTTTCATCGGATCTCGGCGGAGCACAGCCCGGTGGGTCGGGCTGCTTCACCCCGAGCTGTCGGTATCACACGGGAGCGGCTCAGCAGCTCCGTCCCACCCGGCTGCACCGGGGCGTGCAGCGGCAAGCTCGCGGCTGCGGGGCGAGGATAACGCTCCGAGCAGCTTTAGGGAACGCGGGGAGAAAGCGGCAGCGATGCTACAGCACATTCTTAAAGGTCACTTTTCAGTAAAGGGATTATGTATGGCATTAACAATGCACGTAGGCACGGAGCACACGGCACGGGAAAACGTTCGCGTAGGAAACTTCAATGCAAAGAGGAGACGGAGCCGCAAAGCATCGATAGGTTGCGGAGGAACGGAGCTCCGTTCAAAAACCCCAAAACTCGTGCCACGGAGGCGCGCCGAGTTAGGCGAACACCACCTCCGGGGGTTCTGATAGGAACCACCGCCTTTAGGGGAGCTCCCAACGCAGAGCCCGGGGCGGGGTGCGGGGCAGGCAGGATTTGCCGTGCGGGGGATCGCGAGGCGCAGCGCCCGGAGCCGCACCGCGGCGCGCCGTACCTGGGCGTCCGGTTGGGCGCGCTCTCGCGGCGGCCCAGCACGCCGGGCACGCAGTTGGTGAGCTCGGTCCAGTCGGCGTGCAGCCCGCAGCTCCAGCCGGTGGAGAAGCGGGAGAAGAGCCAGGTCTCGCGGCGGTTGGGCCGGTAGCAGGTGCACTTCTTCTGGCCGGGCCGGCAGTCGCAGGGCACCTCCAGGCGCACGTTCTGCACCAGGTGGCGGCCGAAGGTGGTGCCGCCCGTCTTCTGGATGTGCAGGAACACGATCACGTCCTCGCCCTTCATGTCGAAGGCGAGCTCCCGCTCCAGCTCGCGCACCGGGAAGTAGTACTTCTTCACGTAGTGCGGGTCCGGCGTGGGGAACAGGTCCGGCTCCTCGGCGTAGGGGCGGCCGCTGGGCGCGCCCAGGCTCAGCCCCGGCCCCACGTACTGGTACAGGATGAGCATGAAGCACACGGACGCGGCCACGATCAGCAGGAACTTGCTGGTCCTCTCAACCATGGTCCTCCCCGCGCGCTTCATGTGTCACCATCTCCCGGGGCCGCCGGCGCTAGGCGGGCGGCGGGGCCGGGGGCGGGCGGCGGAGCCGGGCAACGCTGCCTGCCTGCCTGCCTGCCTGCCCGCCCGCCCGCTGCCAGCCACCTCCCTCCGCCGCTGTGGGGCCGCCG